GACATGGAGGAGGGAGGGTAGGGGTTCCGAGTATATTGAGTGGGACGCCGAGTGTTAGTACTAGTGGGAGTGGGAGTGGGAGTAGTGGGAGTGGGGAGAGGGAAAAGAGTGGGAGGAGGAGTGATGTTGAGACTGGGGGGCGGTGGAGGGGATGAAGGATGTACCTCTTTTTGTTTGATGCGGGGGTGAGGAGGATGAAGCGAGTGGGGAACTTTGGAAACAATAGCTTTTGGAGGTGCGGTTTTCTATGGTTTTGAGTAAATGTTGGGGGGTTCTGGTGAAGGATAGGGAAGGCAGAGGCAGAAAAAAAAGTCACTGAGTAATAATGGGGTCGAGGTGGGGTGGTTATTTGTTTTGTTTGTAAGTTTTTGAATAGAATGGGTTTCTCATGAAAGGCAAAAACGTGTGTTATACGAATGGAATCGCAGAAGTATGGTGATGTGTGATTGCTCGGATGGGGTCCACTCCGTCATGAGAGTTTTGACCGTGTTACATCTTCTTCTTGAAGGTACCGCGAAGATACGGGGATGCCGATGTTCTTTGTGATTGGATCTTTTGGTCTGAAGTGAGTTTCGTGGGATTGGCGGAGGGAAGGGGGCCGCGGGTCGGTGGGGGCTTTGAAAGATGTGCTGCGGTGGCGCGAGAATGATCGGATCACCGATATATGCAGAAGCGTGGCTTGTGGGCGAAGCAATGCGCTTTGATGATGCGACAGTTTCGTGGGAACGTGGTTCTTATATTGAAATGAGGAGGGAAAGAAAGCGAGTGGGAGACACAGTTCATTCCTTGCATTATTGATGTCATCACCTGTCATCAGGTGTGTCATTCATTTGTCTCTATCACACGACACTGGGAAGCTTTTGCGGCTGTGCGGTGCAGTTCAGGGTGCTTCGTGTTGCTTGACCGCCCGGCGCACTAAGCATTAGTACTGCGCCATTCAGACAACGGGCGGTGCAATCGTGCAATGCACCATCTGAAACGTGGCTATAAATAGAGGGGGAAGGGTTTCCCATCACGTCGCTTGTTCCCATCTCCCTGAAAGTCAAACCCTCTTCCTCTTCCCATACTTCCCTCTTGTAACGACACCCTTCCCTCTCATCTCGCATACCCAATGACTTCTTTGATACTGCCTTTCCCACACTCTCTTTACGCCTTCCCACATTGTTGCTCAGCATACACTCCTTCGCGTTACCTGCCAGGCAAGGTAGGGTATTCTCCGCAACTCACGGTGGGAACTTGCTCCTTTTTGGGTTTGGACGGCTATAAAGTGGTGGTGTTAGTAAAGGCGCACTCTTATAGTGAGAGATGTGCTTCGTCTTCTGCTTCTGCATTAAGTAAAACGTACTGACGCACAATACGGAAGTTTTTGGTTTTCGGTTCAGGTACTCGTCTTTCCCTCCACTGGTTCGCCCGTTTTCGTTCAGGGGAAACTATGATGCCACGACTCTTGGTCCCACGCACCTCCAAGCCCAAACATGATGAGGTGACGCTTCTCTTCCTTTCTTCGCCGCCGCACCCTCAAGATCCAAACCTAAGGGGTGCTCCTCGCTTTCAGGTCTGCTCGCTTTCCTTCCAACCGGCAAGACATTTTTCTCGTCCACCTCCAAGGCCAATCTATATGAGGTGACGGTCTTCTGCTTCGCGACGCAACCCCCAAGATCCAGCAGGACGGGGTGCGCAATATCAGTCGCCCGCTTCCCTCCAAGGTCAAATAACATGAGGTGAAGGTCCCTCCCCGCACGTTCCTTAAGATCAAGCGTGAAGGGATCTCAAGCTCGGTCACTTTTCGTAGTCTTCGTCGTTCAAGCCGATCACCACCAAATCACCACCACACTACCTGCCACTTCGACCACACAGCATGAGTACTAACCCTCTCTGTTGCATCCTTTTCCTAGTTTCAGTCGTTCGTTCTGCGGTCCTATTAGGTTGGGTAGATCCGAACTCAAATCCGTTTCCACAAGCCCAATTCGGATCGCAAATCGGTGAGTCTAGCTGTTGTCATATTCAGAACCTTATCCGTTGTTCTTTGACTCCTAATCCGTGGATAACTTCCTTTCTTTTTGTTCGTCTTGTGTGTTCAGCCCACACGCCCAATACACCCAATACGCCCAATACGCCCAATTCCCAATGCGCAATGCCCAGCGCCCAATACGCCCAACGTCCAACGTCCAACGCCTTCACCTTCCACCCTTCACAACGCCAATCCACCTTCCCACCGTACTCCCACCAGTACTCTCACCTTACCCTCCGCTTCGTCCATACCGTTCACTTCATACCGTCTCGTTCATAACCGCCTCGTTCATAACCGCCTCGTTCATAACCGCCTCGTTCATAACCGTCCCGTTCATAACCGTCCCGTTCATAACCGTCCCGTTCATAACCGTCCCGTTCCTAACCGTCCCGTTCATAATCGTCCCGTTCATAACCGTCTCGTTCGCCTCACAACCTCTCGTTCACATCTTTCATATCTTTCACAACTCTGATCACTAGAAACCCTAAAAAAGAATTCGTTCAGATCTTCGTTCACATTTTCGGAAAAACCCAAACCCCCACAAAACAAAAATAAAAGAGAAAGACCCTTAGCGTAGTGACTTCACATCTACCAACCTCAAAACCAACCTCAAAACCAACCTCAAAAACCAACCTCAAAAACCAACCTCAAAAACCAACCTCAAAAACCAACCTCAGCAATCTCGACTTTCCCAATCTTTTCCCAACCCTTTCCCAACTTCCTCACCAAATCCCAACTCTCCATTTCGTACGTCTCGAAAGATGGCGCGATGGCAGAACCCGGTCGACACGTACGTCTCGAAAGATGGCGCGATGAATCAAATCAATCCCGCACACTTGTCAACCGCGGACGAAAGGCTGGGGCTGGCAACTGCGTCCTTCGGGACCCGCTCGGTACCAGGTGAGCTTAACTTCGATTGTGTCGGCAAACTATTTTGATTACGTGGTGGTTTGTGGTGATCGGTCGCATTGAGGCAAGTGTATCTTTTTTTAACGTGCTCTCTGTTTGCTACCTTTGCTTCTCCGTCTTCTTTTCTTCCGTGCCAACCACGCAGCTTCAAGTCGTCGGCGGTAGGGTAGTGACGGAGAGTAACTCGTGATATAGACTACTTTTGTATTGTACTGAATACACGAGTTTTGATTCCCAGTGTTCTTTTTGAAAAGATCAGTATATCCGTTTCTGCATCATCTTGATTGTCCAGTCTTTATCAGAGTACGTGTCCGCCATTTTACAGATATAACGGTAAGCTGATCGTCAAATATTAGGAGCAATAAACAACTTTGTTGCACATGTAAATAAACAAAGACATTGTTTACATGACCCGTTCATTATATGTTCATTCCATTCATCATGATTTCCATTCCCTTCCATCTTCCCGAATTGCTCTCCAAGCTGATAGTGACGGGGCCCACGGTAGTGACGTGAAGTGATGGCATCTCAGATATACGCATTCATGGCCGCCTTCGTATCAGCTGCTAGATAACAGTTCGACCGGAGGTACCATGACATGGTTTCATGCGTTGATGGGCGTGCATGAGCCTTGAGGCTGTGCATAGGGTCATGGGTGTTTAGAGTTGGATTGATTAGGTGAAACCTGATGTGGACGTCATATGACGCAAGATACGAAACGACAGGGATTACCGTCCCCCTGCCGCGCATCACTTGTATTCTCCCCGTCCCAATTCTTCCTCCTATCGATTCTTCTCAAGTTCGATCGCAGGGTCGTTTTTTTTGCGTCCTCCAATTCTTTCAGAGTACCACCACCACCACTACCACCACACACATGACCATATGAACACCAACTCGTCTCTCCGCTCGAGTACTAACCTTTCCGTTCCCCCTGCTCCATGCAGATTCAGTCGTTCGTTCTGCGGTCCTGTTAGGCTTCGGGTGGACTAAATCCTTGACATCCATTCAGGAATCCCGACACGCTCGACCGCCAAAACCGCCAACAACTCAAATTGAACCATCGTCTCACTCTTCATCACGCTAATCAATGGCCCCACCCTGTCGTCTACCCAACTGTGCTCACAATGGCTCGTTCACATCATAACGCGCTGATCCTTCTACGGTCCATCAATGCCCCTTCGTTCATTTCACATCCTCCACCTCACAACCCATCAGTCATAAAAATAGAAGAACCCTCAGTGTAGCAATCTTCCTCGTCCCCTATCCCCATCAAAACTGCCATCGTGCGACCAAACCCATCAGTCAGTCATATCATCTCTACTTCATATCCGGTGACGGAAGTAACCCATTCCTGCCTCCTTCTTTTCCCCAACCCCTCACGGGGCCATCAGATAATCATCCTGCTCGACCTTTCAGTCAACCGCAGAAGATAGGTTGGATCTGGCAACTGCGTCCCGTGTTTTGGGACTTTCTCGGTACCAGGTGAGTTCAACTTCCACTTTGCTGATGGTTTGGCTGAGTGGTTATGTTGTTGTTGTGGTGGTGGCGGTGGTCGCGTGCGGCATCAGTTCAGGTAAGTGGACGACCACCTATTTTGATGGTGTTTACTTGGCGGTCTTTCTTCTGCTCTTTTCGATTGCTTGGAGATGCATTTGGAAGGCGTTGGTTGGTCCTGAAGACTCGTGACGACGCAATCAGTTTCAATGTTGGGGACGCACGTAGCTTTCGGAGATCAATCATATTCAATCTTAATGGTGATGGATGAAGTTGATTCATGTTGTACTTTTCGCCAGCCGTTGTGAGGCTTATTATTCAAAGATTCATCGCAATCGTCGTCGCTCCTGCCGCTCATTCCTTCATACTAGACACCATCAACGCCTTCTTGCCGTTGGTTCTGCCATCCTTTGTGGTACCTATCGGTGCAAGAACCATGTAAATCACAACCGAGTAGTCGAAAGGCCGTCGTTCATCCGGTTCAACTTTCAGTGTCTTTGGCGTGCAAGTGGTTTTGTGGCGATTTCGGGGTTCTGCTCTCTCCATGCTAAGTTGACCTACTAAAAAGAATCAATCTGGCCAAAAATGCAACGACCGGGATTCGAACCCGGGCCGCTTGCTTACGCCGACCGGATTCCGGTACTTGGAAGGCAAGCATGTTAACCACTACACTATCGTTGCTGTTGACGTCATGGGGTTAGTTTCATATATGACTCTGAAGTGTATGAGTGACGGCACAGTCACGTCGATGGGCGTGAAATTTTGCCACCAAGGACTTTAAAGTCGATCTAACGTTTTAACGGACGAAGACATGATTCCAGAACATCAAGGCGGACGTGAATGAAATTTCACAACGATACGCGACAACAGTACCAGCCTATTGTCACTCTCTGTTTTACAATGAGCGAAAACGCAAACCCTGCCCATTCGGCCCTGATGGCTTATGAATTTCAGCACATTGGTTCCTCAAGAGGATTACATATCCTGAACAACTTGGAAGCCCGACTAATCTACTGCAAAATGGTCAATGTTATGGTCACGCTACAACATATCTCTTCCTATACAAATGGACTAAACCCCGTCGACGTTGGCGTAGCAGTTGGACGAAGACACTGAGCATAATAGTAGTTCAACGACGAACAAACATCCTCCGTAGGACATCGGGTCGGACCATTCCACAAAGCGCCCCCGCATTGGCCGTAATGGTTGGCAGTGATTGTATCATATGTGGTGGTCGTGGTTTTGGTTGGAGTGGTGGTGGTCGTGGTAGTAGGCGAAGACGACAATGGGCATTCCTCTGGCTTGACGCAGACGTTGCCGTTCAATACCGTGCCGGAAGGACAGAAACATCCCTTAACGCATACGGCAGCACAGCCGAAGCCCGTGTCTTTATTTTCGCAGGTTATGGGGCAGCTGCTGCAGTTGGTGTACACTTGGCCACCGGTGCAGGTCGGTGTTGGGGACGAAGTGGTGGTGGTGGTGGTCGTAGGTGACTTGGTGGTGCTGGTGGTTGTACAGGACGGCAGACGGGGAATGTAGTAGGTGGTGTATTGGCACATACCGCAGTTGTCGACAGAGCAATACGTAGCGGCGGTTTGGCAGGGTGCGATGGTGGCACTAGTACAGTAGCATGCAGCACGCTTGCCGATGTAGTCTTTTGGGCAGGGTGAGGGGGTCGGGGTTATGGTTGGGCTTGTGATCGTTGGGCTTGTGGTGGTAGTGGCAGTACACGATGCTGGCGGAGTGATGGTGATTGTGGAATACTTGCAACTTCCGCAACTGTCAACTTCACAGTATGGGGCAGTTCCGTTGTAGCATGGTGGAATTGGAGCATAGGCTGGACAGCGGCATGCGGTGGCCGTGGCTGCACAAGTGGTGGTTGTTCGGGTAGTTGTGGTTGTCGTCGTCGTGGTAGGAGAAGCAGTGGCGGGCAGACATTGCGCGTAGTAGGAGTTATAGGTGGAACAGAAGTTGCCTTGTCCACATGAGGTGGGACCTTGGTACCCGATGCCACCACATTGACCATAGCGGGTGGCGGTGGATGTAGGGAAAGGTTCCGCGTCACGTGGAATGTAGGGTGTAGTGGTGGTCGCTATGGATGCAAGCCGGGTTGAGCGAATTCGCATACGGATCATCACCGACTTAATCGTAGTTGAACAACCTCATTTCTTACCAGCTTGACCCAGAGCTTGGCCCACACCGATTAAGAAGCCCACGACCGCGAGGGCGTAGGTTCCCATTCTTCAAGACTGAAAAAGAATTCAAACTGAACTTGGATGGGATTTGTAAAGACACCTCTTGACAACTGCGTTATTCGGAGGGAAATTCGGAGGAGGGGTTAGGTTTTATGATGATTCGGAGGACCTTGTCAACGACTCTCCTTCCGGACGTTCCTTTCTGTCAACTTAGAGAATGTTACACCACCGATCACCAACAGTCGTTTGTGTTCGCTCAAGTGCCACGCGCGCAGGAGCGCTCATGAGGAGTGGGGACCACAAGCCGAGGCCCGACACACGTTTTTCAAGCTCCAAACCTCGTCTTTCTTTCCAGCGCTTGCGTTCAAGCAGTGCATTGGGTGACAATAATGGCTGTTTGGAGATTCTTCTGCCATTTCGAGTCGACGCGCTGGTCACAGCACATACTCGGAAAGTTGTGGATTCAGCTGCTTGTGGGGTATGGGCTTCTGCGTGGGCCTGTTGTTCATCAACACTGGTACAGCAAGGGCAAGATTTGTGAATCGTCCACGCACACCTTGCACATCTTATGCATCGCGGTTTGTCAGACATTCAAATACATATTGAGATGCTAGACTCACCAATGGGTTGGGGGTGCCTATCAGGTTTTCCGTCAAATCGAGAAAGACCGTTTGGTCAGTCACCGATGGCTGAGATACGATTACACACGGAAAAGGTACCAGATGCAAGTGCGTTTGTAGCGGATGAAACGGAATACGGAAAACTGAAAGGAGCTTCCAAAGGATGACGGTGTGCTGCGTTGCTGCGCACTGATTACGTAATCTCAGGTCACCAAACCGAACACCAGCCCCCACTGGACTCGCCACCAAATAGCGATGAAAACGAACAGGATATATTCTGAGCCACCAGTGAAGCTGTGGACAGCGGCTTTGGATACTCAAGTCAATAATCACATACGATATAGCTGCAGCCAAGTCAAAATCATGAATGATGATACTGCTCAGAGAAAGGATTGACCACCAACATGGTAGCAAGCTCGGAAACTAGAGGACTTTACAAATGCCAATAGAGTATTTACACATTGTAGACCTACCGTGAACGGCTCTTTAAAACTTGGAGCACTGTTACATGCATCATTCAGGTGATTTGGAAATGTGGAAGATACGGCCCGTCATCGTCTCGTTTTGTATGATCGGATGAACCCGCAAAAGTCGTAAGCCACGTTCCATTTATAGACCCAGACACGTCGTTTGAGCCGAAATGGCCCTATTTTTGCTTTGAAAAGACTTCCAAACTCACTCGCTTTCACCAAAATGTCATACCCGTACCCTCTCACAGCAACAACTGAAACAAAGTACAAAAAGATCTTCCGCTCTTCCAAGTACATCTCTGCAGACGATATTGAGATCCTCACAGTCCGACGGGAGCTGCTGCGGAAAGCGTTGAGTGAGAAGTATGCAACACCACTCAAAGCCTTTGAGGCCCATATCAAGGCCCTGGAAGAGTACTTGCCAAGCTTGTTTGCGGCCGTGAAGGCGGTGGCGAAAGATACTGGTGGAGAAAGTTCCAAGGGTGTGCCAGGTATTTGGAAAATCTCGTCTCGAATCAGTTGAACGAGAATTTCGTGAGAGACTGAATCGGATACTTCGTTAGAGTTCACGTGGCGATCTATGTTGAGCAAAGGAAGTCGTAAGCCCAATATTACATGTGGATCACTCAACTATGAGCTTGGGTACGTTCTGCTGGTACGTCTTTTTGGGAGCTATTAAACCCTCTAAATTCCATCATAATCACTGACCGAATGCACTTACACATCAAGATTTACGGAATAACGCTCTCGAATTACGCAGCCACGCTCTTGAATATCCCCACCCTCCTTCCACCATCCTTCCCAAATGCTTGGCCCAAGAATACCACTCCGCCTTCTGAGCCGCTGAGAGACGAACGTTTTAACGCGGCCGCAAACTTACTCTGCCGTGCCGCCGGCATATTTGACTTCTGGGCTGAGGATCCGGAGTACGGATGTCAGAGATGGATCAATCTGCCAAGTGAGAGGCCGCCAGAAATCTTGAAGGGTGCTGCAAAGGCTTTGAGTCTGTGCGTATCGCTATGGCACTGTTTAGCACACGCGTTTTATGAATTCCCCAACCAGCAACTCCTAACTGAAACTTTATTGGTTGACTTTTTATACTCAGAGTATCCCTAGCAGATGCTCAACGTCTCGCTCTACTCAAAACCCTCTCCCGCTCATCCTCCTCCGCATCCTCTCCCCAATCGCCAACCTCACCAACAGTTTCCCGCCCCCTCCTCATCAAACTAGCGCAGGGAGTTGAATCACTCTACCGTGACGCCGAGAAGGAACTCAAGACCCTTGATGTGGATTACAAAGACCTGGCGAAAGAGTTTCTGGCATACGTGAAGGATATGCAAGAAGCGATAATGGCGGGCGTGGTTAGAGTGCTTGCAGCGGAGGGGAAGGCTATTGAAGGGTATGTTGCGCGTCCTGCATTGAAGAATAAACAATTTGTGTTTTCAGGCTATGATAAGGCTGTCATGCTTCTTGCTCATCAATGCCCATCACAGTCAAAACGGCGAGGCAGTAGGACTTTTGGAAGATGCCCGTACACGTCTACTTGAAGCTTCTAAATCATCCGAGTGTCCTGCAATCAAAGACCTTGCTGCAAGAGAGCTCAGCGGAGTAGAAGTGGCTCTGGACAAGTACGTATGGACCGCTTATTCTTTGAACCCTCGCGGTCGAATTTGACATATTTTACCATAAAGATACAAAAAATTAAACGACATGGTAACGCTCCAACAAGTCCCCAGTTCCGCGCAGGTAGCCAAACTCTTTCTGGCGGAACCGAAAGTGATGATGGAAGCGAAGAAGTTTGTGGTGCCGGCTTTAGCTTTTGACAGAGATGGATGAGTGGACAGTAATCAAATGAGAAATCGCTTTCTGTAATTCCAATCCCATCCAATCAAGCTCCAGATTTTCAAAGATTGAAGCCTCATCCACACACAGATGGTCCGTATGGCAACATTCACCAAGTCAATGCGCAATCAGAAAAGTTGGATTACAAACACGTCAATCGAATACATAGTCGTTTATCTGCCTATCAATGTTTCACTACCGTGACAAGCACTCTCTGTTGTAGACTGCTCGAATAGGGCTACCCTAAAACCTAACTGTGATCACCACATCGGGCAGTATCCAACATGCATAAAACCCGCACATATCGTCACAACAGTTATGTCCACCCCGACGACTGACATCCTGTAACTTCCTTCCAATGCACAAAAAGGGTTCAGCTGGCAATCCTCATCTGTCGCTATCAGCAAATGCCGCCGTTATTAACGAGCGCACAGTCCGGAGTTCCGATAAGGCCAGTCACAATGCAATCGCAGGTGAACAAGGATTTTTTGTTGACAGGGAGGTCGGGTGGAGGGTTCTTGATGATGGTCATTGGTTGGTCGGAAGTCAGGGCA